TTCAGCAGCAGCCGGGATCTCCAGAAGGATGTTTCTGGCAAACGCCATTCCCTGAAGACAAGGAGCCTTGGCCCATGGGCGCCTGTGGTCCCCAGACAGAAGCCCCTCTCAGAGCCATGGTGCTTGTTTCCTAGACAAGAAACGCTGTTAGGACTTCAGTTTGTTTTTGATTTAAGTGTTTTAGTAAACAACAGAAAGAGGTCTCTGTGCTGTGGTTTCTGTGACCCAAGGTCCGGGTGGTCTCTGGCCCCATGGGGTCCTCCCCTCCTGCCAGACTACCCCACTGCAGACACCAGGGCACTCTGTCGGAATCTAGGGAACACGCTGGCCCGCAAAGAACAGGCCACCCCCCCCCCCCGGGGCTCATGTCCCCTGCGGCCCGCACGGGCTGTGGGCCCCTCAGACGGAACTCCCCAGAACAGGGCCGGCTCCTGGACAACCAGCAAGTAGCGGGGCCAGCAGACACTTCTCTCCTGCAAAAACGTTCATGTTCCACTCTCCACGGGTCACTGCGTCCAAGGGGTGCCGGGGAAGACACGCGTCTTCTGCACGGTCCTCTGAGCTTGTGAATGCGTTTCTTCCAGCTTGACCAGGTGGGTCAGGTGTGGCACTGGTTGTGCATGAGGGGACCCAGCCACAGGCCTGTGGACCCTCTGTGGACACCCCTCCCCGCCCACTCCGTGGGACCTGTGCCGTCGCCCGCGGTGCCAGCTTCCCCAGCTGGGATGTCAGCGGAAAAAACCACTTGCTGCAGTGAGCCTGGCTGGGTCCGTGGCTGTCTGCTGCCACCGTGTGCCCTCAGATCTCCCACAGTGTCGGGGACATGCAGCTAAAGAAAAGCACAAATTAATAAAATTAACACCATGATGAAATATCGCTACGAACCTACTTGAACAGCTGAAATTTAAAAACGAGCGGCCACAGCAAATGCTGGAGAAGACGTGGAGGAACTGGGCCTCGTGCACATTGAGGGTGGGTGGCTGTGCGAGGAGGGGCTCAAAGCCTCGTGCCCTCCAAATTGGGAGGGTTCTTTGAGACCGAAGGAAGCAGGCAGGTCCCCTCAGTGATCAGAGGTACTTAGTAATCGGGGTGACTTGCAGACAAGTGAAGACTCAGACGTCACCTGACGAGAGCTCTCTGCCTAGGCAAGCTTTACCTGGCAAAAGCCCCTGTGACTAAGAATAACTTTAAGGAAACATCTTAAGAAAAACAAGGAAATTGCATCATCACCGGGTGTCTTGTGATGCAGGCGGCGGAGTCTTGTGGTGTGAGTGCTCAGAGCACTGAGGCCACCTGCTGCAAGACATTAGTCACTCCCTGAAACCGATGTCCGCTTTACATTTCCCTGAGCTTAGGGTGCAGTGGCCAGTGACGCAGGAGTGACACAGCGGGCAGGGCACAGGGGTCGCTGGTAGTGTTCACCTGTCACGGTGGGAATGGGGAACATAGCAGTTCTTGAACATGCAGCCACCCACGGCCCAGCCACTGCCCTCGTGGGTGTCACCCAGAGAAATGGAAACTCAAATGTTCACAGCAGCTTTATTCACAGTCACAGAACACTGGAAGCAACCCGATGCCCGCCGACCGGCACATTCGTCCCGTGCGACCCTTTCAGCGACAAAAACAAGTGAGCTCTTGATACACACAACAGCCTGATGGGCCTCAAGGGTCCTTGCTGAGATGGCAAAATGCCAGTATTGGAAGGTCACAGGCGAGATTCCACTTACACAACATTCTCAAAATGGCAAAACTACAGCGATGAACAGGTGTGAGTGGCCAGGGAACAGGGGCGG